AGCTTCACTATCAGCTGCAAACATTTCTCACTGGACCGACGCTCTTCCACTCGTCTTACTGGGTATCCGCAATGCAGTGAAAGCTGACATTGGATACACTGTGGCTCAACTCGTTTATGGAACGAAACTTCGACTTCCAGGAGAATTCGTTGATCCTTCATTCTCTTCAATGAGCATGGATCTAACCTCCTATACGAACAGGATTACAAACGCAATGCGTTCAGTTAAACCTGTTTCCACTCGACCACAATCAACCGACGTTTTCGTTCAACCTGACTTACACACGTACACACGTTTTCGTTCGTCGAGACTCGCATCGACGAACTTTCGAATCAGCATACGATGGACCTTTCAAAGTTCTTCAACGTGAGTCTAAGTACTATATAATCGATAAGAACAGAACCAACGATGCCATCAGCATCGATCGCCTCAAAGCAACGTATTTAGAAGGAAATCCTATTCACGTCGACTTTCCTTCGGTACAATCGCACAAGACGACTCCTACACTCATAGTTCCTCAATCGACAGCCAACACAAGCGATGATACTCCGAATGTGTCTGAAAATAAACTTAAAACGACGCGTTCCGGAAGAGAAATAAGATTTCCAGAACATTTAAACAACTGCTGCACGTAAGGCACTACTTGACATTTTACATTATCTCGATCTTTCTCATTACGATTTATATTATTAAAAAACAATTTTAAAATGTTTATATATTTATATTTTCCATTTTTTCGCGGACATTGCGTTTTTGCGCACATACGAGTGTACTTCGATATGGACTTACATTTTCTTTTTCCTTTTCCAGGACGGCTGGAAAAGAACGATGAAGTTTACGAGGAGTCAAAATTTTCGTTGTACCTTTTCTTTTTTTACTATGTTGTACCTCGGTCCCATATAGTAAAGAAAGACGACCAGACGCTCCTCAATCTAGTAAGCTATCAGAAGAGTGTTTACCAACGACAGACTCGTTGGGTTTAAACTTCTGCCTGGCCACGTCTTAGGGTCATCACTGCCCCACTAGGTGGGGTGATCTGTATCGGTAAATAAATCCTCAAAATAAATAGCTCTGTAAGTTTTCGACATTGGATGCCGACCGTATGTTTTAGTGGACTCATCTAGCTGAAGGCGCTCGGTCATGCATCCGTACCAGATCACGTGTGGAAACGCTGTGCTCAACATCTACCGCAATCGCTAGCCAGATTAGGTCAGAGAATCCCGATATGTTGGTTATCGCCAAATACACTCTTCCGATCTCCTCGACTCTGTCTTTTGACTTCTCTTGGTGAGTACGAATTGTATTAGATGTTGCTGGTAAAAGCGTTGTCAACCACTGAATACCTGTGCCATCTTCAAGCCTTTTCATTAGTTTCGTCAAGTTTTTGTGTATTGGGATGGAGGCAGGAAATTTTATCGTATAGGAAAGGCTTTTTATCAGATCCCAACCGGAACACTGACTATAACTGACGAGTTAATAAAAATCGTTCGGTTTGTTTGCGTTCGAGTCTTAAAAAAAAGAAAGATTCCAGGTCCTTGGTAGTGTTCAGCAAGGCTTGTCATAACACATAACTAAAGGGTTGTTTGCAGTTTGATTTTGTTTCCCATAAAACTTGCCATTCAGCTCTCTTTCTTTGGTTTACTCGGACGTAAAGAAAGGATCTCGGTAGATTCAATAATTGAATAACAGTCAACAACAGCCGAAGGAATGTGGAAAAGTCAAATACACGGGACAAATATAGGAAACCAGTCAAACAAGTAAACAGAAGCACTACAGATCACAGGTAGAACTATAAAGATATGAACACTACATTTGAAAAATCTGCGAGGGAAGGAAATATAAAAGCAAGAAGAACAGCCGGATAGAATATTTTGAATAGCTTTTGAATAGGTGAGCTTCACCGAGCCGAACAAAAATTGAAGCCACACACCTAGACATTTATACAGAAAAAATCTCGCCAACACTGAAAGAACTTAGTGGCCTAATGAAAGGTTTGGCAAACTTTCGAAATCCAGACGAACGAGCTGGTGTTCTTAAAGATGGATATCATGCAGACCGAATCGTGACGTTGTAGGGCATTACTGAACAGTCAATTTAATAGGGTTTGTCACTGTACATGTACTTCCTAAATATTCGAAAGCATGGACCAAAAGGCTTTGTCGAGTCTTCCTCAACACTTCAGAGTACCTGAGGAAATCACTAATATCATACGGAACTACCACTGTGAACTTAAATGTAAGTTGTAGAGTCAGATCATGAGTGGGTACGCCAGCTTAGACCAAACTGTTCTTGACATTTTGATAGTCTTCTTAATATATCTTCCGACCGCTTCATTTCTGAACATTGATTTGACTGTACTATTATACTTTGATTATAAAGGTGTTATGTGTAAAGGCGTCGTCAAACTCTTGATACCTGAAGCACCTTTAAAGTCGCGCGTGGAGACCAGCTCACAAGGGCATTAGAAGTTAGTACTGGTATCAGATAATGCTACCAGTTCTCATGCTACTTCATTTTGTATGTCGACTGGATTATGAAGACTTCCACATATCAGAGGGATAATGGACTATAGTGGACACCTTGAAGGGAGTTGGAGGACTAGACTTTTGTAAGTGACTTTGCCACCATATCGCGTATACAGCAACAAATGTAGATAAGGATAATCAGTTCAACAGGGGATAGTGCAGAATTCAAATGAAATAGGGCATGATCGCAACAACCAAGTCATACTTGTGACGGATGCTCTGGAAGAAATAGAAGACTTTGCACACCCATGCAGCACCAATGAGAGATAAGTAGGACCTCCTGCAGATATAGGTACGCAGACCGACGAAGCATAGGAAACAAGTGAAAGTATTCGAATCGATTTATCAAATAAGAACTCCAAAAAATTACAATTTATGGCAGGTAAACCTATTATACCTGTGGAATTCGTAATAGGCAAGCAGTTATGTACTAAGGACTAAGTTAATATAAATGTCACGACCACTACAGTCTAAATGGAGATCCAGATTCCCGTAATCTCTGTGCGTCTACTCCTAAGCTTTATCATGTGTCTGGCCGGCTTTGTTTTGGATAGAAACTCTCTATCATCCGGGAAGTACTTATTCGTATTAAAATTAACAATGGAATCCGGAACGGACTCACTTGAGTCGTTGCAACATACGCGATTGTTGTGAATAGTTTGCACGTGAACAACGGACTTATCAACCTTTTTATTGTAACCTTCGTAGATTGAGGAAAATCAGGTCGTCGATGGCATGTAACGCTGGCAAACTGTAAACGTTCCTTATTTGGACTACATTTTCTAAGAGAATTTCATTATTTTTTCTGTTGCCTACGGTCCGGTAATTCTGCACCAAAATAATTTGTCTACTCTTCTGTCCCAGTTTTTGAATTTAGGTGTTTATTTTCCAGGTCTTGAAATTTTTTACTTGTGTGTGAGAATGAAAGTGCTTTAACGGATTTTTATTTTATTTTTTCAATTGCTGGTTTCCTTGTGAGGTTGATATTCATTACACAATTATTATTCTTATTATGGATCAAAACTTTTCACTAAGTGTTCACTTCTTTTCTCTCTTCTTTCCCTCTAAATAAATATTATTCTTAAGATTACGAAGTTTGTAATTCAGACAATAACTTGTGTTACACTTAAATTAAATTCTCAGACCCGTTTTATCTTCACTATGCATATACGTCTCATACATATTGATATTTTATTATCCTTTTCATTTAATTGTAACTTTCATAGCATCACTCTAAACTATAACTACACAAACATTTATTCTAGCGTCATATCTTGCTGCAATTATAAGTTATTTTTTCTTAATTATTTCTTGTTGCTAATTTAACGATACACACATAGTCGTCGAAAGTCCTTAGGCCTATAACCTCTCTCATCCTTTGTGACATGTCCATCGCAGAACCGTTCTGCAGGTCTGTGTTATTAAATGGTTGATCTAACTTTTGTCGATCGGTTAGGTCTCCTCGTTTAAGAATCGAACGTTTTAAGGTTTCGTAAGGTTCAGAAACATCACTAGTAAACATACTAGATGTAACGTACCTGTTCAATTCGCGCGGTAGTGCCTTGACTACTGCGAGGGATTGTGCACGTGTGTCGTTCACGCCGTGCTCGTGGAAGTCGGCTTCTGCGTAACAGAACCAGGCTTCTATATTGTCGGGCCAGAAGGGCATGAGTTGGAACGAGGGTGGGGACATGGTCTTAATCTTAAATACCTTAGGAATCTGTTCGGTCATAGGGGAATATTAAGTACGAGAATACGAGGAGAAAAAATATAGATATCTTGAGACACGGGGAAAAAATATTACAATGTATAAAAATTAAAAAATAAGGCAATAATATATAAAAATCCCAAAAAGGAACAGACTCACAGTTTACGATTTGGTGTACCAGATCACGTCGGGCTCACCAATGAAGATGACACAGATAATCAGGGGTTGACAACGCTTTTACCAGCAACATCTAATACAATTCGTACTCACCAAGAGAAGTCAAAAGACAGAGTCGAGGAGATCGGAAGAGTGTATTTGGCGATAACCAACATATCGGAATTCTCTGACCTAATCTGGCTAGCGATTGCGGTAGATGTTGAGCACAGCGTTTCCACACGTGATCTGGTATGGATGCATGACCGAGCGCCTTCAGCTAGATGAGTCCACTAAAACATACGGTCGGCATCCAATGTCGAAAACTTACAGAGCTATTTATTTTGAGGATTTATTTACCGCTACAGGCTCTTCGAATCAAATGGCATCAAAAGCTAAGATTCGCGCTCAGCTTTAAGCTACTAGCACAGGAATGTGAACTGGCCATCACTATTTCACTATGATGTGCTGGAAATTATAACGAGATTTTGAGGTGAAATGTACTGCCAGTAGGAGGGCTTAATATTTTAAGTTGAAACTCAAACGCTGTTCTGGCAGCAATATGCTATTAGGAACACCATTCTTTTCATTTCTCTGTCACTAATTTTGTTTAAGTTGACCTCAAAGGCTAAGCGCGGTTTCGGTCCCGGCATTAGCTAATGTCGGTAAACAGGAAGAACAGGATTGTCCAAGTCACTAATGTGTCGCCATCCGCGACATCCGAACAGTTACGCACATTGTTTGGTCATGTTGGAGTCTTGGAGGAAGTCGTAGTTTATCCACCGGACGATAAGGAAGAGTTGGCCAGCAAGGTAATTGCCTTTGATGGTACACTATTGTGTAGGTTTGCTATATACGCTACCAAGAACCTATAAATGCTGAAGTTGCGCTGCATCTAAACAATACTGTCTTCCTCGACAGGGCGCTGATAGTCCTTCCATTATCGGGTGACCGCGATGCTATCCCAGATGAGAAGTATGCCAATCTTGTTAGAGCACCTCCAAATACCGCTGCTGGCGTTCTCCCACGCACTGCTGATTGGCCTCTTGATGTTATTAGCATGGTGGTCGGTCGTCCTGGTGAGCAGGTGATACACACTATGGAGCCTCGTCTTTCCAGTCTGGCATTCCCCCTATACCCGCCACTTCCTGCCACTACTGACGGCAGTCGCATAGAAGAAATTCGAAGAACAATTTTGGTTACGAATCTTGATCCAAAGACAACAGGTGATCAGGTACGTTCTAGAAATGCTCGTGACAAGAGAAATCTCAGAAGTCTTCTCAGGATGCTTTATGGCCGCTATGGTTAGTGAAGCTAGTAATTATGTACGCCGCAAAGCAGTGTGTACGAGTGGAAAACTAATTCCTCAACAAAGAATATCGGAGCACTATAAAGTGCGAAATTCCCCCAAAATCTCCCAGATAGTTTAATAAGTTTAATTCTGAGGCTTTTACATTTGTGCGTCTCAAGTTATTGACTACAGGTGTTTTGTATATGCTTCGAATAAATTACCAATAGTACCTAACAATTCCTCTGTGCTTTTTGTGTATCGTGTTTTCCAGCCCTACTGGTCATCGACAGTGTGCCATCGCAACAGCACTACACCTAATCGATACGTAAATAATGCTCTTGTGACTGCGATTCCAAAAGGGTCGGTGGCTTTTCTGTACATTTTTGTCTTTTCTTTTTTGTTTTTACTAATTAGTTATCACTGCGTGAGGCCAAACAGGGTCCTCTATCCTGCTAAGACAACCAATTTGGTTTACAATTTTTATAGGATATTCCTATGCTGTACCTGATTCTGCGATTTCAAGGAGTTCGCATCTGACTAAAGGTAACTAACAGGGTTACCTAAGTGCTAGTCATGCATATCCTGTTTTTCACCAGTTAGCTTTGCATTATAAGTTCTCATTTGGCAATATCCATCCATTTTATTCGTTTTCTTTCAAGTCCATTTGATTTCAGGTACTAGAGTTCTTCAACAAACATGCCGAAGTACGCTGTGTACGGATGGCGGGGACCGACTTTGACCGAGCTGCTTATGTGGAGTTCACTCAACAACCGTCAATTATTAAGGCTTTCGGTCTAATGGGGGCCACACTGAACGGCCGCCAGGTTTGTAACTCTTTATAATTAATTTGTTACAGATAATGGTACAACACTCCAACTGTGCGATTATTAAACCTGCCAACAATGTTGCTATGCTTGATGAGACATCAAAACGCTCAGTCACAAACGAACAAGCTTCAAGTGTTGGTGGTCACAGTAAGTTTATTTCAGTATAGTTATAATGACTTCCACGTAACATGTAAACATATAGCACGTCTTGCTAGGAATGTAAACAATTTTCACAGTTAGCTTTTGTCATGCTAAAGCGTAGATTTCCGTCCCTACTAAAGATATACGTGTATGTTTGAACTACATTACTCTAGAACCATGCCAACACATTCCCCTCCGCTTTAGTTTATCTTGTATATAACAAATTGTAAAAGTTTCCAACTAGTTCATATACATATATTTCGTAATTTGAAACGCTTTAGAGGCCTTGTTAACTCTAAATTCACAACAGGAGACGTAGGTGTCCAAACAAATTAAATGACCTTAATTTAGTCGAGGTTCACTGACTCATGCGTGCGCACTGAATTGTCCCTTACTAATTGTTGGGTTCTTTGTTGCTGGTTGAGTGTGGCAAGTTGAACCGATGCGCACGTACCGGGTTTTACGTTGTGTAAGTCTGGCCAGCAAACTGCCAAAGTTCTAAGTTTTAATACTTCACAAAACACACCGAATATCTGGTTTTTCATAGATCATTACCAGATCAGTGGTTCTAAAGTATACTGCCTCAGAAGGCCTTGTACATCAACTTGGTAACGCAAAGCAATTAACAGTGATTTAAATAAGTCTAGGTGAAGTATATTTGTGTATTCATAAAGCCAGGCAGGTATTCCTATTGAAAAATTTAAAAGAAATAACGGACAAATATTGCATGATTATTCCTCAAGTCTACAGACCAGTATGTTTTTTTTGCAAGATTAATATCGATAATAGTAAGGTAACTGTAGGTAAATACTACAAATTCAAGTGTTGGGAATAATGCCGAATGAATTACAAAGTAATTAAAGAATAAAAAGGGTTGAGAAGTCGTTCATAAGTAGTGAATAAGCTATATATGTAGAATCGGCATCACTCATAAAACTAATTGTTACTCGAGAGATGTTACAGCTATCCAAGAACCACAGAAAAGTATCTATGTATCTTGTTAATCAATGCCTTAGAGTTCCATTTACTTTACTAACGTCTTTTGGCTACGTGGTTGGTAGTACATCTTTATATTCACTTCTACTATCCTCATTTAACGCCAAATGACTTATACTCACTTTATTATTAAAAATTCCCGTAGTGTAAATTCGAACAGTAATGTTTCTGGTTCTTGAAATCCAACAATCTGTGTAACTCCGCACCGATCGTAATGTTTTCAGTTAGATCACTAAGCTTTATTACAAGTGTAGTAACATTTTTGTACAGTTAATAAAACAAGGGTAATTTATGGGTCACTGGTGACAAGTAAACAGATAACATGCCTAATCATAACAATTATTACCATTGACTCAGAAATTCCTACTGGTTTTATGTTCTTGCATATTACTTATTAAAGTATGACGTAATGAAAATCGAACTGACTTTCCTTTTTTATTGTCCAACATGTTGCTTAATTATAGTGCGTTGGGTTTAAACGTCATCCATTTAGTGACCAAGAAACACTTGTTTGAAGCAGGTTTGATTATGATCACTGTCAACTTAAGCGGTCTCAACTATGTCATCTATCCTTTTTATTCTAGTCTTAACAACTGAAGTTACACAAATAGTGGGCTCTATCGACTGCAGTTTACTATAAGAAATATGTTTTCTCTTTGTTCTGTAAATACAATTCAGTTACCTAAATGACTCAAAGTATCCGTTGTGTACGAGCAAACGATGCTCACTCAACTTTACTTGCAGTATATTCGAGTTTATCGTATTGTTTCTGCAATGAATGTTCGCAGGCTCGACCATTAAATACTTTAAAAATGATTTGACTTTAATATTGAGTTTCGATCCATTCTTTCGCACCATTTATTAATATGAATCACTTATACAGTTATCTATGATGTATTTTCGTGTGCTCAAGGTAGCAAACACAGTGATCGAAGGCGCTCACGTTCCCGATCCCGTGCTCGACGTTCTCGATCCAGACGCAGGTCAACTTCAAGAAGATATCGTAGTCGGTCTAGAGATAGGAGACGCTCCCATTCTCGTCACAGTCGAGATAGAAGACGGTCTCCAACGCAGTCACGCTCCAGGTCTCGCGGACATCGCCACCGCACACGTTCGCGAAGCAAGGATTATCGGAGAAGTGATCATGCTAGGTCAAGGTAAGTTGATGCCAGCTTTTCTGAACGGTGATTCATTCAAAAACATCAGTTATATGAGTCAATACTTGTGGCTGCAGGATATTAAGAGATATTTTGTCAAGTGCAGGGCGTAGATGCGGTAGTTAAGCTTGCGTGACGTGTTGAGTAATGCTATGTCAAACACTTACTGTACTAGGAGGTTGCTTAAGAATCGCATTGCTAAATACCGTGAAATTTTTTTACAGACAGACATCTCCAACTATACCACCTTCAATTAGACCAGTAGGATTTAATCACCAGTTTCAAGATGACATGTATAGAATGCACAATGAGTTAGAAACATTGTGTCAGAATACCATACGGTTTCGTGTAATAAATATCATTTGGATGATGTAATAAGGCTTAGGTAATCATATTTAATTACGCCACAACAAAATGTAATCGGGAATGTTGCAACTAAAAACTAAATTATCTGTACTACCTAGGAAGTATACATGTTCATTTCGTTCCCTATCTCCTTTCGTTCTATTTAATTACCTTCAACCCCCTCTACAACACTTCACTGAATTAATCTTCCTTAGGTGCAACAAAGTACTTATAGTTTTAATAGTACTGATAGGAAAACAGCTTTTCAACTGACAATTGAGTGACTTCTGTACTTCTGAATTAAACTAAGGATTTAGACCAATAAGAGTATACTGTAGTACATGATTTTAACGCTTTACAATTTCACTGACTGCATTGACAGGAAAATTTATTTTCAAATATGTTGATAGAATTACATCAAACTGCACTAAAGTATCTAAGTTCATGTTTCTGTAGACTAGATTGTAAGAAGCTGGATGGGTTTAGTATCCTCGCCATCATTAGAAACTCGTAACTATGGGGGCAACATCACAATTGTTCCTTCTGTTTTTTGAACACAGTATAGAAGTGAATTCCCAATGCAGAAACTTTTCTAACCTGACACTGAGGTCAGTATCAATACTATCATAACTCAATACAGCTTTACATACATTACTTCTGCTAGTCCGAACTTATAGATTCCCAGATTTGACTGGCGGTTCGGTAGAAGGTTCTGCACATGCTGATAAGACTAGTTTTTGTTCTGCCGTTCGTTCACGAAACTTTCGACACTAATTCTCATCTGTTTTACTACTCTAGGTCTCACAATCGCAAAAAGCATCGGCATTCTCGTTCGCACTCAAGTCGTCGATACTCACGTAGTCGATCTAAAGGTCACCGAGGCGACCATCGTGACCGGCAAAACAGAAACACCCGTGAAAGGGATCGGACAAGGGACCGCGATAGGGATCGTGAAAAAATCCGAGAAAGAGAACGTGAAAAAGAACGTGAGCGAAATCGTGGACCTGATCGCAGAGATCGTGAAAAATATCGTCACTGTGAAAGAGAATCTGATGACAGACGGGATTGCAAGCCGAAAAAACATCGAGATGTTCCAGCGAAGCAAAGTCACAGCAACGGATCAGTTCGACAAGAAAAGAGAGAAAAGAATTCAGAAATTAACAACCGTCCGAGTTCAATTTTGGATGAGGTTCCATCCTCAAAGAAAGACAAACATACGGACAGTATCAGCAGTTGCAGCGACATTGAAGATGAGAATAGTAAGATATGTCCTGCTGATAGTATGGAGAATGGAAAGACTCAAAGTGATGACGACACTCAGTCTAGTAATGAGCAACCACCTAAACCTACAGTTGTGGGTGTGAAGCTAGCAGGCCCTGAAGATATGGACCATTTATCTCCCGAGAACGTACAATCAGAGCTACCCCTCATTTCACACATTTCACCTGAAAGCGACTCATCTGGTGAAGCTATGGACACAGAGGCATAATTTATCCATTGAATACCTTAATTTTACTAACCAATGTATCATATGTAACCTTCCGTCTTCGTTTTCAATTATGATGTAGCGGGGATCAAGCAATCAGTCATTGTGATGTAGAGATACTGTGACAGCAAATAAATTTCCTCGAATGGAATAGAAATCATCTCAACAAAACAATAAAAGCAGGACCTAATTTTTTATTTTTATTGAAAACAATCAGAAGTTGAGAATTAGTTCAGCGACATGTTGTGGAGTATACAGTTGCACAGTCGTATCGCTTTCGGAACAAGTTTGGGTTACATTCATGATTGCTTGGTGAACAGATTGGTAGTAACTATGAATCTGGTCAGCAGAACGACGACGAACCAGCCTTCGTAACTGTTGGGAACATAGTTTGTTTATGTCAGGAAGGCATAGTTTGTCTGGATTCGATAAGTAATTATTGAAATCCACCTAAGAATAAAATAAGAGTAACAGTGAACGGAATAGTTTGATTTTGAGCTGATGAGTAGTAGTCCTTATTAACGTAGTTTCATTTAAACGCAGAGTGATACATAAACTCTACAAAATCGGGTGATTAAGGATTGACACTTATAAGCATTTGGAAATAATACTTGAAAAAAGTGAGCGATCGAAGTAGCGGTTACTGACCACATGTTTGAAAGTAAGCAACTTAGTGATAGACATTTTACACCAATGCGCTTAGTAATCACTGCAGGGCCGTCAGTATTTCAGTTTGCTAGCGGTATTAACTGTATACGTATGTTACAATTTAAAATGGCGTACTAAATATCAGTGTTAATTTACAGTCTGTAATATCAATAATAATTCCCACAATAAGTGGTTTAAGATGGTCAAAAGGAGACCGCGGGTCTCACGCTACTTAGTGTTGAACTAAGCGGGGGTTCTCATTTTCAAGGGAACTGGTGCTCTGTGTTGGATACAGGCAAGTGTCATCTGCTGGACAATTCGAGGTGGTTATGTCATGCGGTATGCTCATCTGGTTAGTCTAATCACGTTTAGTCGTAAATTCATAGAGGGTAGTTTTGACAAGTCGACAGTTAACAAAGGTTACTAAACATGAATGGTGTATTTTGAAGTAGCAGTCTTTATTGCATTCAAAATAGAGCTAAACAACTTACCAGCATGTCATGAAATTGGGATATCGTGTACTGGGGAACATTAGGATCCTGAACAGTGCCAAGTCTTTGGTTTATTAACAGAAGACCTGTCCTTTCGAGTATAAAGGAAACTTGTGCAGCAACCAATGAATTCAGACAATTGTCTAACTTCAGTGCAACTTGTTCGACTTGACTAGAAGTGAAGGGCACCCCTGAAAGACTAACCTGAATAGCATTAAAACAGTTGGCTAGGTATATTGATACTGAAGGATTACCAGGTGGGTTGGTGGGCAGATGGTCGTCCAGATGTCTTATGTGCGATAGTGAATTAAGGTTGAGTAAGCTAGCAGACTTTTCGCAGTAAGTGATCAAAGGAGATACCAAACAGTCGATTACCTGAAATGAAGAAGAATGTCCGTACGGCAAAAAGGTAAAGAAGTAAGAAATTAGAATAACACTGCTTTGTACACAAACCTGTGAGGTGGCCGCATATGGTTTGACTGGACTCGTAATAATAACTTTGATACCTAGCCACTCTAGTCATCAAATGGAGAGGAAAGAGTTAACAGCGACATGTTGAGTGGCCATCTAGTTAACTGAAATAGATTTTTCGACCCTACCATAATGTAATGCGGCTTCTATACAAGTACATTGTGCTCTTGGGGCGTTTTATGTCCTTAGTCAACTAAGAGCATTATGTTGATGAAACTTTGGATCTTAATTTCGTAGGTGTGCGTTAGTGAATAACGAAATAGAATAAGTCAAATAGGAATGTTATTCGAAATATATTTCATGAATCCATTGATGTAGATAATCAAAGACGCCAGCCGGAGAAGGCAAAACTTTGAAATCTTTTTATAGGTGTTAACCTAACTCGAAACAGACAATAAATAATATGGGTAAGGTGAATGTTAAATCAGTTAACATAGACAAACAAGTATCAAATTAAGATCACGAATAAAGGTGGACGCATACCGGTCACAAGTGCTTAAGAGAATGGAGTTATTAGAAAGGAATAGATGACTGAATAGTTACAATATATCTGAATCATCAACAGCTAAAACAGGCTCACCTAGGGGTTATAATAGACAGTAACTAAGCATGTTACTAGAGTGGGGTATTCCGCAGATCCTCATCCGGTGTTTTACAAAAATCATTTGGAGTACCAACAATATATTAGTATTATCTCAATTATCTCTAATTTGAAAAGCGAAAAATGAGACTATATGTGTATGGAATAAACTACGGTTTCTTCGTTTTCATGGTCATATCTGAATTTCTAAAAATTGTAGTATCGTACTACTCACATATGACGTTCCTAGTTTTTGCTTAGACACAAGTGTTAAAATCAAAAGAGGATTATTCTTCCTGTGGAACTTATCAATCGACCAAATAATAACTTTGAGAAACTTCAGAATTTTCATGAATGTTCTCTGTCTTCAAAAAACACTGGTAACTACATATGTGTCTGCAACTGAGAAATTATAGTGACCTCTTGAAAACAAAAATTATACATAATGAAATGTGAGGTTAGAACAATTCTCACGCTTCTAAAGATGAATCAAGATGTGTGACAGCTCTAAATGCTAAGAGTATAGAGGAAGTACATACATTACTTAATAGACGTGGTGTTTTCCAAAAAATATCTATATGATCCTGTAGTTCTACTGATCATTTATTTTGGATATACATTGAAATCAATTGCAGTCCTAAACATCAATTGGAAGATTCAAGTAAACAATACTAAGTGAACTTAAAATGTTACTTTTCAAACTTTCAAACGTAAGATTCACTTAATCAAAATCCTAATAAATCCAATAGACGATTTAATGTAAAACAATAACTGTAGATTTAAAAAGGTAGAGACGGTTTGTAAAAAGGCCTACTCATTCAAACAGTGGTTGTACTGAGAAGTTTTGCCACAATAATAAATAGAATACCTCTGCACGTTCGACTTTCACTTCATCGTTTGGCAGTAATGAAATATCTTGATCGCCGACCATTTGGATAAGTAATTGTAGAGTGTCAGTGATTAGTTCATTCGGAGATAAATTTAAGTTTGGATGGTCAGGCTAATATAAATTGTAAAGAGAATGAAAAAGAAACAAAAAATAACTAACATAATCTTATTAATTGTAAGAAGATTATGATTATTTTTTATTATTACATCGCTGACTGTATTCTGGTAATCTATGAGAACATAAGGAAGAATCAGACTGATGACTAGAGAGAATATTTCTTTAAAATACATTAACAACAAGAGCGTAATAAAAAATATGTAATTTCAACAGTTGAGATCATGAGTCAATTGAAGCTAGACCACAATGAAAAACCTGAAAGCACTGGACGACCGTTTCGTTCTATTGTGGGACTTCTCAGCAGTGCGCATCCACGACCCCGCCTCGCGGGATTCGAACCCAGAGTGGGCACTGATGAGGAGTCCCGTACTAGGACGAAACGGCCGTCCAGTTGCTTCCAGGATTCCCATAGTTTGGAATATCGACCACCTTCCAAATCGCACGCCGTCCTCACGAGATAAAAACAGCGATGAAGCAAACTGACTATGTGTTATTGTTCATTTGTTGGAGTTAAATTCCAATGAACGATTTTTACAATCACAATTTATCCCAGAACGTTTAGCCTTACGAAATGTCAGTAACGGAATAAAGCATATTATCGAGAAAAGCCAAGTATGAACAGCTAAACACATCAAATACAGGTGATTTTTGAGATATTCACAATGACAGAAAAATATTGAATTCTCAAATCTAATGGTCTTAAAATTTCTATACGTCATGTACAGCGTCTACTTGGTGAATAACACTGATAAACATGGACATGGTGTTTTCATTCCTGGACTGACTTTATACTGAAATATTGAGGGTCGGGTGACTTTTTGTTCGAGTCGTTAAAACAAAAGTAACTATAAACATTTTGTCCCCGTCTTTGTTAGCATAATGTTTATCAGGCATATTATTTAGCGTTTTTTATAGCGAATTCCAAGCTATTTTTATCGACAACATATCAATAGTTAATGTAGGAAAATTTAGTCACCGGAAATTTTACTGTATTAACAGAATGATTTCTTTTATTCTTCTGTTACGATTTTCAAACAGCAATGCCATAGTCATAGACAAAACTTAGTATTGTGCTATTCATGAAGTTCAGAAAATCATAACAGGAGCATAAGCATACAGTCATTCAATTCAAGGTACCACTTATTTGTGAACGTCTGTATTGGCTACTGTAACCTCATTACAAATGAGCTATACACTGTACATTACCTATAAAATTTAACAAAAAAGGAAATCATAACTTGAAATTCTCACTTGTTCTAGAGTTTGTTTAACAAATTGTTTGAGAGTGCTTAGTATTAGCCTTTTACATAGCTTCTGAACTTCATCTAGGCATAAATTGAGTGAGGCAGTAGATTTAATCAGTGATCTAAATAAAAACGATGAAAACAGAACTTAGATTGAAGTAAAATAAAATGATACACACTTTACTGAAAGAAATTTTACGATCAACATAAAACTAATGCAGGTAATCGGTCGTACAAACATTTGAACACTGAGAAATGAGCTAGACTAAACATAAAAATGAATTATACCAAGTGCCCGCACGAACAGAAGAAAGTGAAGTGAAGTGAGTTTCATAACCGTCACTCAGTAACTGAGCCCAGTGCTCATGTCTCTTAGTAATGGATTATGAAATATTTAGTAGGTACTAAGTTTCTGTTATAATCTCAGTTTTTCTTACGGTTAATGACCCAGCTATTCCTATTGCTTAGTATTCTCGGACACCGATTCACTCGACAAGTCCCCAAATCAAAACACGGTTGAACCGGAAAAAGATTATATTCCAAATAGCAAGTCAGAAGCCAGTAGGAAGCACAATAGGGGAAAACGTCGGTATATTTATAGTTTTTACATAAGAAGATTCCAGAGTATTCTCCGACTATCGACTAGTGCTGATTGGATAAGAATCAGCCAATCAGCGTGCACCAAAACAATCATGCATTGAGCATGCTTTAATCTAGTCTATGTCCCGCTAACAGTTTCCGAGACTATTTATTAGTTTAGTCATGTTAGTGTGTAAGTGTTCTTTGTGTTGTTATGATAAAAACTATGGTAATCATTTTTCATCCCACTTTCCGGTAAGTAATAAGCATATTAAATCAGCTTGGCTGGAATCACCATTCTAATGCTAGATGGACCCATTTGTGTGAAATCTGAACACTTGATTAGATGTCGAGCCGAGTCTTTCTAACCATTTAATTATCTATCTGATTGGTTAACAAGATGTTTTTAATACGTTTTAACCGGTAGAAATACTTTAAACTGATTAATCAATAAAGGATATTCTCGTTAGTTAATATATTTTCTCAGATGCAACAGAAACATTATGTAATGAGAAAAAAATGTGGTGGATACTACTTATATCGATATTCATAAGTAGTATATAACACCAATCAGAAGTGGAATGCCTGGCTGTAGAAGGTTGGGAAGATCGAATCGAAGAGAACGGAAAAAGAGAGCAATTGTAATAGCGATAAAGGAACGATGAAGTTTGAGACAATTGATGGAGTATTTGCAAATGGAATATTAAATTTATCATTACATTTTACGAAAGAACTCTGTAATTTCGTGTTAAATAATAAATTATTTGTACCCACTTGAGGCTTCGTTCACTACAAATATGTAAATTTACATCGAAACCTACTGATAATTTTATACAACACATATTCTATGGGTTTTCTCTAAAAAGTTGACTTGGTTTAGCAAAAAATGATACTGATCTTTTTAAGTGAAGCCCGTAGAAAAATCTGTTATGACCTTGAAGTTGAGGGTTCAAAACTTTTCTCCACCCCGTCGCCAATTGTTATGGCTTTGTAGGTCTGGTTTTTCTATCGCACGACTTATCTACCAATCCGAATACGACTTATACGAATCTTCACACTAGGCCAACCAATGACGTTCGACCGGTGTGGGCAGTTTAGCGTCCTTATTGGTCCTGTGTCCTACGAGCCCTTCCACTTGAGTCCAGAACAAGATACCAGCTTCCGAATAAGAGCAGATCGTTTATTTCAGGCATACTTGGTTTATATATCAATCACACAGACCGCAACGTACCATAAAATAGGAAATAATATTTGTACACAAATATACCCAAAAAGTGGCTGTGAATGTGGGAGGCAGTAGTTAATAAACTGAACATAACTTAAGAACCGTAAATCGTACAATAATAAATTATAGGCCAAAATAAAGCTTGTCATAAGACGGATATAAATATACATAATGTAATTGTTGAATAGTTATACAATAAGAATATTTATAGAATATTAGTCCATGAATAGTCCTCGGAAGTTACCTGTAATTTAATCTCCACTCGGACATAACAAAATCTAAATACTTTCCTGAGATAAAAAGATATTACCGATTACGATGTTCATAAATTCGAATCCCCTACTTGACTACAAAAGTCCTTTCTAAGCAACCCACTACCGTACATTATAAATCAGGACACCTCACGAAAACAGGGTTTATTAATCCAATCCATCAAGAGATTGGGGAATTACTCTATCCACGTTTTAAGAACTATGTATCAACCCAGCACATAAATGAAATCGAGAATATTTACATTTTGTGATAACCATTTAATCTCGATCACATTTTACAATTTCATTGGATTCACACTACTGCCAAGATGTCCTAGAAGGCAATAGTAACTGTCGCTTTCTTAACTTAGCTGATTTCAGATGTCTATCTTGCTAGATAGGTATCTCAAGTCTATTACGCTATCAGTAGCCTCATATATTGCTTTATTTGTGATAGGAGTTATAATCGTTACTAAAAGAATTGTAACGGTGTATATCACATGATAGGTATTTCGTTCTAGTAAAAAGCTGTTACAGAAAAGCACTAGCAAATCAACAAATAGGTCTTATACACATACATACACAATCTCACAGAGATCAATAAACTTTTGATTTATTAACTATAGTCACACTTACCTAAATGTATGTTGATAAAATCTCATAATATTATTCATTTTATATAGTGTAACGGCATCATGATGAGATACCAACATGTTTTCCATGTTCAACTAAAAAGTAAAAAAAACTATTCTCAACTAATTGTTATGCATATTTAATCTAAATCTAAAGCACAAATATATATAAATTTAAATCAAAGATAACTTTACAGAGGAAAAAAAGATTTTGATTACTTAGAAAACAGTCTTACATTCTAATATTACAAAAGTTTAAAACGGAGGGGTTTTCTGAGGTTCGATGCGAATCACCTGATAATACGATTTGATACACTAGCTATTATAACTGGGGGCACTCTAGATGACAAGAGATAAGTAGACCAGATTAAATCCGGATACATGATCAACAATTTTGAACCAGACAATAGATCTGACTAATAATTTGACACAAAATACAAAGTAGTCAAACGGTGTAAAATCCGAATACAATTACAGTGGAAAAGAGATTCATAATATTAGAAAGTGTCTCATACATTTAGCATAGATACTTGTCTATATACGCTCACAAACCAATAAAAGTCCAATATCACATGTCATTATATTTTTATTTTAAAATCATATACAAAATTAACAATATTGATGCAGGACGCGGTTGTTTGTCACTTAGTACATGGAATGAAAAGGAAAAGGGAACATATGCCATAACAGAATGAATTGATTTAGATATTTAAGATAATAGTGGTAGTAGAAAGCAGCATAAAGATTAAAATTATTTGAAATTAAAATTAATAAAGATCAACCAAATCTTCCAGAGAGAGATCACAATGAATTATGAAGAGACGGATAATTACACTAACAAGCCTGTTTGATGGAAGATCTTACGTTTTTTTCTCTCTGACAGAATAAGTGAATCTACCTTTACACCCAACAGTCAAAATTTACTGCCGATTACTATGGCCACTGTTGCATTTCGGGGTTGTTTGTGTAATCTTCCACTGCTCATTGAACTTTCACAATCTATCAACATTAAATGAATTAATAACATTTAGGGATACAATGTCTTTTATGAAGTCCTACGATATGACTCGACTGATGGGTTAAAGTAATTTCCAGATGGATAAAACAATAGACATATTTTTACAACCATTATTCAAGCACATCATACCAATAACGATTATCCCCATTATCGTTTGAGTTTCGCGCGATTATAGTAAGTAATGATTAGAAACTTTGGTGCAGGTGCATTTACTATTTGCCTTCTATTAGAATCTGAGTCTTGATATCATGTACCACGAGGCAAGCCCTAACTTGGAATCCTGAAGGGAAACGAAAAAGAGAAATTTCAAAAAAAACACTGCGTTGGGAATTGGAAGCAAACATGAAAAGGATGAATAGCTACTTCAAAGGATTGTTAGTTATGTCCATAACTAACCAATCAAATAGTTGTTTAAGCGCCCACCACGTCGATCTGGTCTGATGTGTCTTTAAATTATCCCTGTTGCATGTGACCTACCAATTGAAGGATATTATTATCCTATTACATTAGTGTGACTCATAATTTTATTTATTTCGATAAGACACGCAATATTGGTCGAAACAGATAGATTTTAAAGCTAAGTTGTCCTTGTTTTGACTATAACTTTCACGTAGACTCTGTGATCGCCAGAACCGCGTTTACGGTTTTAGTAGTATATCTGTAGGACAAATTAAATCTTACAAGGATTGCCCAGGACATGGTTGGATGGAGAGTGCTGGTGGGAGGCCTTTGCTCCTCGATGAGGGGTAACAGGTGTAAGTAATGCATAAAAAGAACTGCACATAATCAACATTTACTTTAGAGACCACCTTACAACAAAAACAAAATTTATATTACCACATTTACTGCATAGAGATGAAAAAAGTCGTGTGAGCAGTATAACCATGAAGAGAAACTCCTATATGCACTTTACTTAGAAATGCAACTAATTCACCAAATAATTTTTAATGCGTTCCTCTTTGAGTTACATTTGTGCTAGGATTGATAATACTGGAGGTATAATAAATAAACTAACATATTAAAGCAGCTGGCGGAAAAAACATACATGAAACTCCTAATCGAACGTAATGACAAACTTACTTTAAGGTGAGAGCATAAACTCTCGGTAATTGTATCCAAACAAATGATCTTCAAGTCTGCAATTACTGAGGAAATGAAAAAAAATCAAATACCCATTAATTTAGTTCTAATGGACGAGTTCTTAGTTAGTCAATACAGTGCATAACCTAGCAGCCATATCCTCCGGTTCGAGTAAACAAATTATATCAGTAGTCATATAAAATTCATGAGTAGCAAAATGATCGGGGTATATATGATTTTGAAAAAGATGAAGATATAAATCAAGATACAAAAAGAAGGGATGAAGACATGCAATAGAAATTGTAGAGTAATATAGACATACAGGAGCAAAAAAAGATAAAGAATAAATCTTCACCATCGTGACCAACTATTAGATATGCTGCCTATTAACTCCAAGCCCTAATAACAAACCATGCGCGAGTTCCAGTTAAGTGTCAAAACCAACATCATAGCTTAGACCAACAGTCAACGACTTGATTAATTAACGGTGAACCTTGGTCTGTTAGCTCTCCACAGTTTACTCCCATATCAGCTGGTCCTGTATATCAGAGTAGGCCACAACTAGAGAATCATAAGACGACTCCTAACCATCCTGATGGAAGAAGCTCTATAGCCAGATCAATCTACTTGGTATTTACACCTACTACTCAACGCCTAAATCCAGAATTACCATCTCTGTGGCTTCACTCTGCGTTTTAGATTGAGCGATTGCGTATAGTTCAAGCTTACATAAACATGTGAAAATGGATACTAACCAAGAGGATGAAGATCACAATCCACTTGACTTACTAATCTTCAACGGCTACAAAAACTATAATAATCTTATCACAATTTATTTAATTCCACTTTGATCTTCTACTTGGTTTTATTACTATACAGCGTCTATATTTTCCAATACTAGTTCCAATCTTTAGCTCACCCAGAAGCGAATTACCAAAAACAGAAAGGGGAGGGTTAACTAATTGGACAGATAGCTCTTACTTGCGGATATACCTGATGAAATATGGATGTAGAACCTTTCACTTCTGATTCATGCTAAAAAAATATTTTACCAAGATATTATTCTAGGTACTATTATTAGTGTTATTACTGAGTACACTAAGTTATCCTTATTTGAGTTTGGAAAATTTTCATAGCCAAAATTTCTTAACATTTTGGAATGAAATAAGGAAATAACACCCCCTTCTGACTAATGAGAAACAAGTTTCTATTAATCTGACATTAAGTTAAGAGGTGGTATTTCTGTTAAGTTTGTAAACTGAAGAGAACTGAGGACAGTTGATTTGTAATTTTAGGACTTCAATATTTATCTTCCGCATGGAAAATATGTTGAAATATGGGATCGAAATAACAAGTTTTTGGTTCGGTTAAACTTCAGATTGGTAAAATAAAACAGGCGATATTTTGAATTATCCATGAGTTTTGTGGTAACAATTTTGTATATTAATTCAACTTTCATTTTCAGCTTTTTGTGAAAATTCTTCACCTTGATCGAACACAGTCTAGAAACACTTTTATTTCTTGATTAATAATTTATTTAGTCTTCAGCTTCTTTGACACACGAATGCATTTCACAAAATCGATTGTTAGAAACAGCCTACTCGACTAAACTACTAAATAATGGTATCCTAAACTTAATTTAATTAAAGAGAAACTGAACTGATGATTATCAACAATCTTGTTGACTTTTAAATTATTAGGTACTCATGGATTGTGAAACGAAACCAACTGAAAATCGGGTTATTAATGAGGACCTATCTCGGTGTCATATTTGAGCTCTATGGGATTATGGAGAAATACAGATAAGCCATGCAGAAATGAGGTCATGAACCTTAATGGTTTGGGACGAATATATTACCGGTTCAAAACTAGTCCGGGTTCCAAAGGAAGGTTGTAAGCTGTAAGTCTAGATACAATTGTTAAACAAAAATAAATAATAATAAGTTAATCATGAAATGTAAAGTATTCATACGTGTATCGTGACAGTTCTTGCATAAGCTATTTATATACTCTCTCTCCGAGGCTGTAATTTGATGAACACAAGCAAGTATATCACTCACAATTCGCACATGATCACGTGGTTTTTCTCTAATGTGCATCGTATATATTGTGCCAACAGAATGATTCCCGACAGTGGAATTCGAGTCAATTTCAACTGAGAGAACATCAAGAAAAGATTTAACAGAAGCTTTGCGACGAGCATTAGCGTATTCATCAAGAGAGTACCTGTATTGGTAAAGAAAAACTGAATGTCGGAATAGTTTTTAAATATTATTCTAGACATACTAGTTCTTGAAATTTTTCTAAAGAAATGAAACACAGAACGATCAAGATTTAACAAGGTACAACAAACAGCTTTATTTGGATTTGGAACACATACATAGCTTAAACACATAGTGACCTATAAAGTTTACTAGAAAGGACTATTGTCATTAGTTATGTAAAATCATGCAAATACATTTTTATTTATAAAACGGAATTCGATGTAACTTTGTTATAACACATTACACCTAGTTGAAGAATTAAGACTTTATGCTAGGTTAAATTTATTTTAAGTATACATCAGAACAATATGAAGAAATATCGTAAATACAGGTCAGTGATGATATAAAAACAGCAGACTACATTTTGATTTTAGTTACTGACATATCGTCAGGGGTATAGACCGAAAAACTGTTGTTAAATATTCCACATATTATTACCTGAATTCGCCGTCTACTTTATAAAATATTATTAATTTGGATGTATAACCACATAATCGTTTCTACAAAGGTGATTAGAGTAGAATCTATCACATATGATCTAATTGTTTGAATAACGCTAAACCATATGTACCAGGCTACGCTTAAACAACTAGAAAGATATTAAAATGAACTGCAAAAAAACTATTTCTCACTACCTGACTAAAGCGTAATTATGATGGTCGATCTAAGGAAATAGATTCTATAAAGATTAGAAGCTTATCAGATCTATGGTTAAAAAAGATTACTTTTAATCTTTTCTGTTCATACACATCTCCAGCCTGTAGTATAATTGAATTAAATTTTTGTTACATCAACTTAAAGATGAAACTTTGATACCTTTATATAATTTCAAGATTCTTAGTGCAGATCATCCTAACACCACAAAAATGTCTGGTGATATTAATTTCTTGGTGGATACATACCGGCATGGTACGTTTAAAAAACTTTTAATTTGCAATAATTAGTCTGATATATGAAAACCATTTGCAAGACTTACTTCTGCAAAACAATATAGACATTTGCTGGTTAAGCGTCCTATGTTATTGTTAAACATTTTTTAGTCAAACTGGTTTCATTGTGAGGTTTATAAAAAATGACATCTTAGAATATGTCAAGTTACTGAAATCAGTAAAATTTTCCGAACCTGATAATATATTTAACGTTTTATGCATGAAATATGTTGATGTTTTGCGTCACATTGATTATAATATTAAAAAGTTAACACTAAACGCGGACTACAATTGAAAATATAGATAATGTAGAATGACCCAAAGTTTTAACGCCATTCTTGTAAACAAACATGTGCAATATTATTTCTATGAGCAAAAACTTTTTGTCGTTCCTGATCTGCATACTTTTAATTAGTATCGAGCGAAGCTTTCAATCTAACTAAACACATGATGGAGTTACGTGTTTTCGCTACTATTCAAAACAACGTGTACTGTTATAAGTAATAAATCCCTGAATACTTCAAATTCTTTACTAGAATAACCTATTTTTGGTTGGATTCTTGAGGAAAGACTACACTGAATACATATATTGGGATGGAAAACTGTTCAAATTAGTGTAAATTATTTGCACGTTTGTAAACTCAAAATTGAGCTACATTCTGTGTGTAGGCTATCGATACCAACCTGTTTCCGAGAATAAAGTAGGTATTACTGGACTAAGGGTTGCAACCAAACAGCTGAAAGTTTATGGCTTTAACGATTAAGACATCGCTCTGTATTAAAAAGTAATGAGAGCCGGAGTAACAATAAAGATAAGAACTAATCACATCACAAGTTAATTATACTTTCTAAAAACTCAAATTATGCCAGCAAATGTATGACTGGAAATATTGCAGTTTGCTTAAATTGGATTGCATTCTACACGAAGTAATTTCAAGATCTGTTAAAAGAGCGACAGTACAGATCCTTTTAAATATGCATCAAAGTGAAATGAACATCACAGTTTTTAATAGACAGTCAGATAGCTATTATGAACATCCACTCGACAAAATAAAGTTATCAATTGCTGGTGAGGATAAAATTAGTTCCAATAAGACGACTATTCTTTCCAAACATTCGACCTGTTAAAGTACACGGAATATTAATCGATATTTAAAAAAGCATTAGACATGATCTCTACACTATCTCTGAAAAATCACATTCCGACTCTCACAATGAAACATATTTTCCAAACGAAAATTGATAAGAATATCATAGGAAATAAATACTTTCAAGTAGAGTATAAGAAATAATAGACTCAAGTGTTTACTTTAGAAGAACTGGTTTATTTTGTAACTCGGACAAAGCACGTTGAAGATATGGAGATATCTCAGGTGTTTCATGAACATGTTTCATGCATTCATCTATCGAAGGATTAAGAAAAATGAAATGATTTACTTTGAGCCCATTCATAAAGATTTTCATATGCTCTGTCCAAAATTTCTGTTGCTTCATTCATCAGTGAGCAGCTAGAGAATAAAACAATCATAGAGTTATGTTACCTGAACGTTAATTCGTTTGACTGCAATAACTCTTTACATATCTTTTTTATTTCTTTGCCATGTAAAAGGGCTGAAAAAAAGGTATCATCTACGTGGCTAATTTTAGAGGACAATATATGTGCATCTTCTGCAGAGATTTGGTATGAACCAACTAACAGTTCCAGTAAATAAGCTTTGATCTCCGCCACTTTGCTGTAAATGAATTGCAACGAAAGATAAGATACTCAAAAAGACTTACCTATCAGATCTCAATTTTTGTGCTTCTTCTACTAAACACACCGTCTCCGATTTAACAGACTTAGTTAGTGAGGTGATAAAACTCAAAGGAACCTACAGTCAATGTCCCATTCATTCGAAGACATGTTTCGAAAATACTGTTTATACAAGTATCTAGAGAGTCTAGACGCTGAAACTGTGAGTGAAAAAAGAAAGTAACATACCTTCTTAACATCACCAAACGATGCTAGGAGGTCTTGATAGTAACTTAACTGGAATTTTTCCAAATTGCTACGAAGGGTCCTGCGATTGCTAATATAGTTGTTTGACATGAGAGGAAAAACAGAGTCTAATCCATTTAGTAACGTCTACAAAGCATTACAAAAAACAATAACATTACTCCTTCATTCTCTGGCATTTCATTTACAATCCTCTGTATTTTCAGTAGCAAGGGGTTTTGATCCATTTGATTTACAGACATTGAATTTAATTCTTGTTGGGTTTGAGCTTGTCAGTATAGTCTGAAAAATATCATTAGTTTATTGAAAGTAGGAACATTTTTTGAAATTATACTTAGCTTATGATGGAACATTAAATGTCTATCAAGTATCTGAATGAAAATGCCTGGAAATAACTGTGAGGCAGACGGCATTTAAAAATTTGTCAGTCCCTACAAAAAAATCAGCCGTTTGGGAGCAGATTTGTATAAATTACGTGATCCTTTCTAAAGACTGGAACCACAATCGCTTCATTTTAATGTAATGGAATATACTACATTCCAAATACCTTTAAATAACCTAAGGGTTGAGTTTACTTATTACCATAAGTTCGAGGCATTGCTTGAGTATTTCGGGACCACTGAGTAAGTAATGCAGTGCTACAGGTCGCCTATAATTCTACTTGCAAGACCTTATTTCTTGACTAAATAAACTCTTAGCGTTTCACAGTCGTCTTTTGTTTTAGAACAGCGAGATTGAAGAATTACGTCGAGTATTCAATATAATGGGTTAGACAAAAAGCACCTCCAATTTTTAATAATTTTTAAAACAGTCTTTTTAGCTTTTTTACAGAATGCAACCTTAAGTAATGCAACCCAGATACTTTGGGGAAGTGTTGACCTTGAGGGTTTCTCAAGGTGATTGATTTGAATTCAGTTGTTGCTGAATATTCACCTGGTTACTGAATATAAACAAATCGCCTTACTTGAGCTCGTCCCTCAATGTAAAGAAAGGGTTCTACATTGCTAGTGCAACCTTTTTAAGTTATTTGGAGTGGCATGCCTCAACGTTTATTGTTTATTCGACGGGTCTTTGTGTATCTGGCCCTTTATTGATATGTGTAATGGAGTCAATTGAATCAACCGTTATCACATGATTTGATAATTGTTTGGTTGGTCAAGACAAAGGTGTACTAGGATTGACAAAGGGATGGAGATATTTGGAGAGGCGACAAGAGATGAAGCTAAAATATGAATAGATAATGGAAAAGCATAAATGGTCGTATAAAATTATATCAGGGTGAAATTAGTAGGTGAAATAAATTTTTTCCTCATACACTCAACTGTTGTTTCAGCTGAATCTATACTTAACTGCCTGGTATTTTCCTGAGGCTGTTTACTGGTTAATATTTGTTCCATTCAGAAGGTTGAGGTTTTAAAAGACAAATGGTTAGTGTTGATAGATTAACATGGCCATACCTATTTAAACTGTTTTCTATTGATAATTGTTTGATTGCCATCTCGTATCACCGTGTAGTAGACGGTCTGTGAAATTACTCAGTTACGACATCTCAGATTATTTAATAAGTCGTTTATCGTGATAAGATTGCTTCTAACTTCTCACTACCTTTTTAAGAGCAGTGTTAGTTCACAGTATGGCACTCACTATTTGACCTTTTAGTCTGTCTCTGGGTTCGTAGTAGACTTTGTTATACCGTCAAGTGCTTGTTTGAAGGCAGAATAGAAGTTATTTTCCAAATAATATGTCTAGTTGCCTATGAATAACCTAAAGCACAATGCAGTATTCTGACTATCTCAAGAATATATGTCATTAGGTGGCGTCCAAATCCAGCGAGGTTATTGTGAGCGAGATTATTTAATCAATGTAGATTTACAACAAAATATTTATGATGATGTTCCAGCTGACTATGCGTTTTATAACAGTTTAATAAGTTTATGATTGTTATACCGCGTTGATGTTAAGGCGCATAACATAAGTGGCTGTCCTTGGGTTTCTGTTCCGATGTTCAGAAGAAGGTTCGTGGCTGTGTACTGCAGCGAAATGTAGACGAACAACGAAAGATGAGCTACAAGTTGATGGAGTTTGAACCCTCAGCAATAGTCAACCACTTGAAAGAGAACAGGCAAATTTACGGCATGATATCTCCAAAATGAAGTGTAGTCGTAGCTCTAAAAACCTAGCATTTGTAGTCAACCTCAATAAGAGAGGCATTAGGCCTGTCTGAGCCATACACCGTTTCCAAGCTACATTTCAATGGCTTACATTTACTGACTTGTATTTGTCACGTGTACTTCATCCATACACAAACGCACAAAAAGCTTCATGACATTAAGTACATTTAAAATGTTTATGCTTATTTTCAACATGGTTTGTTACTCAAAGCAGTAATGTCACAATTGAAAGACTTAGCCCAATCGCACCTCAGCTTCATTCAATTTTGTTTAGGTATGTGGCAGTACGTCTACTACGCACACCAATGATGTGTTGAGTCTGATATAACTTTTCCACTGAAAATTAGGAGACAATTTGTTCAAGTACTGTTTCAGTATTGGATAACGAGTCCTCTTATACATAAACATACGTAAAATGAACTTAGAATTATGTGTATTGCACGGTGAGTTGTTTCGTGAAATATACAACGGATCTTGTACACTCTGTTACAAATGTTTCCGTATTAGTTTGAATTGATCCAAGATCCGCATTACAAAGTCCCTATTTTCTTCCTTTGTCCGCGTAATTACAATCGAGGTTTTGGATCAACGTTTATCTACAGCAACCAGCTGAAAAAGGTTGTAATTAATGACATTCGAAAAACAGGACTATTTCACCAAACTTCTTCTTAGTTTTTTTATGTTGAGTCGACCTGAATCACTTAATATAATTAACACTTATACATTTACATTAAATTATAATTACTGAATATTATTATAGTCACATTTTTGAGGTTCCCACCATCGCGTTCAAACGCCCCAATCATTACATATGCTTGAAAGCACATCACTGAAACACTGACAACCTAACAAATTATAGATCTATAGGAAAAACTTGTGTTTAATTAGAACGGCAAAAGACCTTTTCAAAATTCTTTCAGACATACTTAGCAATCTACTCAGTAACAGTCCTACTTGTTATTGTCAGTATAAATATTTGCAATCGATCATCATTTGGTTTCCTGAACCGCGCACCATTTGTCAGATACTTTTTATCGTAAGGATAGTTGTGGATCGTTTTGAATGAGATCACGCTGCAATCAAAACATGGTCTGGCAACAGGCGAACTTTCATATATAAAAACGTTAGTACATTGGCAGTTATTTACCCATTAACTGCCTACCAATATCTCTTCAAGTTCATTTTATACACATCATAACGGACATAAAAATCATGCAAATAGCGATTTTTCGTCCTTTCATTGTTAAACTAACTTTCATGCACCACGTTTTACGTACAAGCCACTCAATAACGTAATGTAGTTGATAGACAGACTGAAAGCATCGTTTTTACTAGTGCCTAAACCAAAAATTTGGATTCATTATTTGGGTGATACATACGTTGTCGTCAAAAAGAACAAGCTAAGAAACAACAACATTTTTGATGACATCAAGTTTACAACGGAAAATGAGTCGAACAAAAACTATCATCCTTCAATTTATTTATCGCCAGAACCGACACGGGATAACTGGGGTCTCAAGTATATTGGAAGGCGACCCACGCAAATAAAATTCTCAACTACAGTAGCAATAACCCAAAACCTCACAAAACGAGCTGCATACAAACGTTGTTCGAGAGGGCGAAGACACACTACAACACACCAGTAGAAACAAAAGATGAAGATCGTCTTTCAAAAAAGGCTTTTCAGTCACCTTTATCGAAATTACCATCCAGACAAATCAGCCAAGTACAGAATTGCAGTAGAGGCGAGATAAAATTACAGGACCTCATTTCTGTCTAAACTTCGCGTTTTTATACGTCGTTCACTTATTATCGTCATGGTGCGAGTAGCGTAATTTTAAAAATGCTGAGTGTTTGTGTTTTTCGAACTTACAATTCTGCAGTTGTGATACCGAATCTCGTGGCAGTATACATGTACAATTTTTAGACGGCAGTTAGTTTTAAGAGGTTTTGCTATCAATGTTGTTCATTAGGCTTTTGTAGTGATTTATGTGAATGGGTTACTCATATGTAGAATAAGTACATTAACAGGCCTAAACTTCAGCCGAAATTAATGTGAGTACCTTCATAAAAAAATTCAGTATGACTGAACAAAGCACTGCATGCAAATATACGGGCCGTTTTAAATTCTACAGAAATGCCGTAAGTCCTCAACTCCACTTGTAGTGTCAATGAATCGTCACAACAATTAACGAAAGAGCAGTTCATTGGAAATAGGTTTCACCAGCCATTATTGATACACAACTTCTAAGACAGTAAAAGAATAACTTATGGTGATAAAGTGATGGGTTTCGAATTCAGATTGTTGATTGAACATTATCTATTAGATAGAAATATACGCATCAGTAACCTTTAAAGTACGATCTTCTATATGACCTAAATCACCATGAAATTTAGGTTTTTTTCCTTAAAATGATACCCCTCTCAAACGTATTCTTTATTGGGATCTAAAACCAAACTAATAGCATATAATAGAGTTTTAATGCTTACTACATAGCTAAACCACTGACAGTAGTACATTTAAAAAAGCTCTAAAAATATACAGCGTTGTATAACACATTCGGAGCCTGACCTCAAATGTTTGCTGGTTGACAAAGTGACAAATTAGACCACAGAAAATTTATCTTACTTTAGCTAGTATATCTGAGTTAAATAATTCTTATTTTCTAAATATGATATTTCAGAGTAATAATATCATCCAAAGTTGCTTATTAACTTGTTAATTATTGTATACTTCTGGTGCTTTTCACTCACGTATAACTGTGAGCCTTTTCTATCTGCAAAGATAAATTCAATAGAGTATCCGAATTTCCATGAAGATTTAAAGCTCCACAAAGTCTTGGTATGCTTTTTGTTCTTTATCAGTCCAATTTTGATTATCGTAATGGATAAATATCTACAAAATTAGTACCTACTCCATGCCTCTTTCATGAATACGTTTCTTTATGTTTTTCAGCTGTGACGGTGTATTTTACGACCTTATTTCCAAATGAATTTCACCGAACTACAACAATTTTTATGTAAGACTCCTGCATAATACTTGAATTTAAAAATGGACAACGTTGGTTCACCTTGAAGTGTGCATTTGGCAATATCTTCCTATTCCATCTGGTTTTTAATTTTTAATCTTCATGACACAAGAGTTCCTTAATTTATATACCTCACCATGTTACGTCTTTAAAATTTATCTCTCTTTATTATTAAGATGAATTCTCGAACTTATGATGATTGTAAGTAACTAAAAATGGTTTGAAAATGTGTTCATCTTTAATTATTACTTATGAACACATTAACTTAGCTGTTTCATTAAGCGACGTAAATGTTAGTATTGAAGACTACTTTCCGTTTATCTTCTAGTTTCTAGACAATCTCAGTCAGTCAGCTAGGACCAGGCACATATATGCATCAGTCCAAGTTGCCATACCTCATTAGCACAAGATGAACACCGAATTCATATAAGTAGCTAATTCAATGGTGGTAATGTATAAAAGAAAGATTGCATATAAGGATATAGTACAGGAAGAAAGAATTAGTTGGTAGAAAGAAAGATATGAAGCAATTTTATTCTCCTAGTTTATAGGAAGACAAAGAGGGTATACACTGACGCCATTGTGATCGATTCTGAGCCGTCTCACCCAGAGTCTTTAACCATCGGTTACGATAGCCACGCGGAGTAACAATGTTTCTTGATTACATTTGTTTAATGTAGAGATGAAGAAATCAAACTACACAATCTGAGTTTGATTTATTCATCGACACATAAACAAATGTAATCAAGAAACATTGTTAGTCTTTTTGATAACACCACCACATTTTTACTTCATTCTTCAACTAGGTTTTTTAACACCTTATGGATATTTCCGTGTGTTAGCCATATTGATAGAAATTCAGCTACACTTAGAATTTTATCGTCTTTGAAATACAGTGTTTTAGTGTTTAGCACTTAATAGTACTATAAATTTCTTTATTAACCATTATTTCCTCAACCTTATAATTTTTAATCTAAGTGATATCGATTCCAGAAAACCAGTCATACAGAGTAAACCTTTTTTTAAATCACAAGTTATGAGATAGGTTGTTATGTTCATTGCGGTATATATTTATACACAGCTACTGTCTTTAAATTATTGTTCATTACCAGTTTGTCGTGTCAAGGTTGCTTTAGTTAACGAGGACATTCAGTTAGAGATTTGACGTTCTATTAATTAAATTGCAACTGTTGATGTTTCAAATACTAACTTTGGAAATCCCTAATAAATTTACTAGGATAAATAAGATAATCTGTCCTATAAATAATTTGGGATCCTTTAGTTCAAATAACTATTATACGTCTCGGGGTTAGCGAAAATGTGGTGAAGTTCCACCATTATCCTGATCAGTTCTTCTGAATGCATACATGGTTACACGTTCGTTTTAGAAGATTTACTCTTTCTTACATCAACAATTACAAAAACAATTTTGCCGCTAATAAAATTGGTAGTCTTTCACCATTGTACACAATATGTATTATTCAGACGCATAATCAATATCCCAATATGATAGAAAAATTAGTTAAGTTGTTACTTTTAACTTGTGAATCTCCACAATAATAACACACAAGTAACTACTTAAGGTAGTTATTGCTATGCAGGGGTTTTTTCAAATTTACACCTGTCCAGTGCTTCTTACTTTTCAAAAGCTGTTTGACTGAGATCAGCCGCTGACATAAGCTATGAGATACCTGAGATAGCTTGAGTTTGGATATTAGGGTTCCATAAACTTAGTGTTCAAGGCTCTGTCAAATAATAATCATACCGAATATTTATACTCAAACCAGATCCACTTTTACCTTATATCCTGGTCAGATTATTTTTATTTTATTTGAACACATATATATTGGTACAGGAGTGCGCCAAATATATATGCGACACACAATTTCAGTTCATTAATTGCGTGTGGGCTGCGATACTGCCCGGGTGCCCAGACCGAAGCAGGTGGTTTTCTTAAAAGACCACACCCCGAGCCTTTGACCTAAAGGTCTAACCCACAAGGCAGTGGAGCATCGTGAGGAGATTCATTCCCATGCTAGCCGGTGACCAACGATTGGTTCATACGCCATTTGTTCCCACAGGATACTGGAGCCCATGTGCACCATTGGTTTGGGAGCCGGGCAAAGCGCCAGACATTCGCTTTTCGTCCTCTCATTTTCGTAAACAACACCCCCGCCACGAGAAGGCAGTGAGTAGGACTTCTCTGGCAGAGGCTGTATACGTGCGGCCGTGTGAGAGTATTTCGAGAGGGAGGGCGAACCCACCCCACTCTCGGCCATACCAGGGCATTTGGGGGCTGTATCTATCTAAAGCTTGAAATTCAATTTCTCAATGAAAGGACGGAACTTATGACTTTCTTAACTTACCCAATTATCTCCTAACACATGGAAATCTTTATCATATAACAGTGTTATTTGTGCGACACAATTCTTTTTGCCACCCATTTTAGAAATAGTCTTTCTAAAATAATCACAAAGACAAATATTCAACTTTTCATTCTAGTTCTCTCGTTAAGTACGAAAGAAAATAAAACATTATTATTTGTCGAAAAATTTTTAGTGTAGCCTATTCTTTTTTGTCTTACCTAAAAACCTAGATTCTACTTTACTATAGTATCAAAGTTGGATAATTTTGAAAATTAGAGCTAAAAAAAAGAAATAAAACCAGTCTTAAAAAATTTATCTCCACATTGATAAATTATATGGATACTTCATTACAATAAATCTTAAGTGACAGCCATGCATAACTCTTCTAACTACAACAGTTGTTCGCTTGTATATTAACCAACAACGAGTTTTTAAAGTTAAACAAAATTGTGAAAAATTTGTTACAACTCACGTGCTGCCCGGCGTTGGTGGTTGGATCCGGCGTCCAAGTTCTATTTACATAACGTTTTTCTACGTTTAATAGAAATACTTTTTCTCTAGCTTTTGTTTGAAATAATAGAAATGACGACATCCTCACTAATATTCTTTTCTGTGTTATAGATGCCAACTATTTTTATACAATGAAAATTTATATTTAATCGAATTCTCCCAAACGTTTATTGACCATTGGAATGTCAACTAAATGACCTCATTAGTGTTCACAACGTATTCCTATGTATAGCATTGATACAGATTTTGGTCACCCTCACTTTCTACGTCTAATGGAAATGAATGGAGGGACAATGAAAGACGAAAGTCTATGCAGTCTCCTCGCATCTAACAGTTCATTTGGAATAGAAAGCAACAACCGTAATGTGAATTCACTGCTAAATATTGCTCAACTGCATGAAGATAAACAGAACAAACTTCAAAGCGAAAACTCGGCGAGTAATTTTTCATTAGGACGGAACAAACCACAAATTAATAAGCTTGGGAACCGATCAAGCAGATCAAGGACCAAAGGAAACATCAGCCCATCGACATATAATTGCTCAAAACTTGAAACTCAGATCAAATCCCCAAAAACTCGAAACCGGGCTGTAGCATATGGAGGTGTGGATCTTAGTCAATTACCGGTAAATACAATACCCAAAAGCTGCGTAAACGAACCACCTAACCTTCCGATTTCATTACATGAGTCGATTAGTACTTCGTGTGTAAAGCCGTCATCAAATAAAACAATAAAAACATGCCTCACTCCGGAAATGGCAATGAAGTTGTATTTTCATAAACTTAGCGCGTACGAACACCATGAAATATTGAACTATCCTTATGTATATTTTGTGGGACATAATGCAAAGAAAAGAAACGGAATTTTAGGTACAGGAAATAATTGTGGTTATGACGATGATCAGGGATCCTACATACATACTGCACACGATCATGTTGCCTATCGTTATGAGATTTTAAAAATACTCGGGAGAGGTAGTTTTGGACAGGTTGTTAAGGCTTACGATCATAAAGATGGTGTTTATGTTGCACTAAAAATGGTGAGAAATGAAAAGCGTTTCACAAATCAAGCGACTGAAGAAATCCGAATTCTTGAACAACTGAAAAAGCAGGATGTAGACAATACGCGTAATGTCGTGCATATTTCCGAACACTTTACTTTTCGTGGTCATGTTTGTATAACATTTGAACTGCTAAGCATAAATCTATATGAACTTATCAAACGAAGTAAATTTCAAGGATTTCCTCTTCAGTTAGTAAGAAAATTCGCTCATTCAATTTTAGTATGTCTGGATATGCTGCACAGAAATAAAATCATTCACTGTGATTTAAAACCAGAAAACATCTTGCTTAAACAACAAGGTAGGAGTGGGATTAAGGTAATTGATTTCGGTTCAAGTTGTCATGAAAGTCAGCGTCTATACACTTATATACAATCAAGATTTTACAGAGCTCCGGAAGTGATTCTCGGGTGTAAGTATGGTCTACCGATTGATATGTGGAGTTTTGGATGTATATTAGCGGAGTTACTAACAGGTAAAACGTGATTATTATGATCTTGGTTTAATACTTGTACTCTTGTCGAGATCAATACGATGTTTTTAAAGGTCTATTCGGTACATTAACCTGGGGACTTCAGTAAAAATGTTAACGGATGTTCAGTATTTTTTCATAGGCTTTCTTTGGGTGGGTAGAGCTCCTATAAAATTACTTTAAACGAATTCAAAGGCGGAACACCAATGACTGCGCAATTAATTTCAACTCATGCTAACAAATTTTCCAGAAGTCAAGTTGAATGTTCATGACTGCTACAAGTACTGTCAAGGCAAGATACCAAAAGTAATAATAGTTGAAAACACTTTAGTGAGCTCGGAGTCGGAATAGAAAACATCAATACATATATGATGAACAGTTAGTGTAAACTTTCTAGTACTTCTAAAAGTACCCTAACTTTCAGTTGTATGATCAAAAAAGTAGAAAATGGAGTACTCTCAAATAAACACGGCTTCCTGTGATATAACTGACTTTAACTCAATATAGTGACATAAAACTATGGCTTTAAATATATAAAATCTGAATGTTTTCACTACTAAAACGTTATTTGCTTACTTTGTTATGTTTATTTATTTTTGTAAACTTGATAAAAAACTCCTTAAATTTGACTAAAGCAAGAACAATCAATGTAGCAGAATAATATGAGTCCACTATATTTCGCAGTTCCTCGTCAGCTGCCCACCACCTAAATATAATAGTATTATTCTTTAAAAACCAGTGTATATACTTACATATCTTCCTAATCGACCATTTGTATTACGATATATATATATTTCGAAAGGACATATGGAGTGGATTATATTTAAACTTCAATAGCTTTTGTCCACTAAACTACAATACTTTTGGTTAGAACGCTCTTTAATCATATTAGAAGATTATGTTGATGAAGAACTAACCGTAGTTGAACGTTGTTTATGTGATAATATTACCCTCAGAAATTCATAAACAAGTATGGAAGATTAAAACAAAGGACATAGAGTATGCTGTAGTTGAGAAGCTTGCATTCCTAAGACTTGGCTTCAATGGTGATGAAGTAGCTGTAAAGACTGGTTTCAGAATAAAGCCATAACAAAAAGGACTTATCCAGCTGTCAAGCTCATCACACTAATTGCTCATTAAGACAGTCGTGTGAGGACAAATTCCCACCTTATTATATTCACCAATTTACATGTATATGCCAAATATACATCGGAAGAACAGAAAGAGGGTTAGTGTCCGCATCGCTGAGCACATTCCATAGAAGCTTAGACTGAAAGGAATATGTTTCCAGCACTGCGATCGCACACCATCAGATTAACAGTGGCCATGGTGTTGATGTGGCAAAATGTTTCAAGATGATTAAAAAACAAAGAAAGTCAGACTGATTACGGTTAACCGAAGCAATTACGATAAAAAGATTTAAACCAAATTTATATACTCAGAAAGATTCAGTTGTCAATGTTGCTTTGGTGAACTTAACAAATGTTTGTTATCCAATTCTTCTTTTTATGACACTAGTTATTAGTTCTCTTTCCTTATCTGACCTGTACTCAGTTAGTTAATTTCTCTAGAAGTTACATAACTATAACATTAATATATTATTCCTACATAATTGTTCCTATCTCCCTAGTTGTTTATTCTAGATGTTCTTATATTCAACCTAAAAATATCTACAATAATTAACATATGAACATCTCTTATCATTGTTTCATAAATAATTCTGTGTTTATTAATATTCACTGATAAAAACTCTTCCGATGTTTTGACAAAGTATGTACATTGGTTTTTAAAGGATAATACTATTATATTTAGGTGGTGGGCAGCTAGCTGACAAGAAACCGCAAAATATAGTGGATTCATGTTATTCTGTTACACTGATTGTTCTTGCACGAGTGAATTCTATAAATAAGAAAAAGTGTGTGAATCTCCCTAAACGAATGTGAATAATTTTTATTCTTATTCCCATCATTAGGTGCTCCTATATTTCCAGGAGAAGATGAAGGAGACCAACTTGCTTGTATAATAGAATTGCTTGGGATGCCGCCCCAAAAGCTACTGGATCAATGCCGAAGAGTGAGAAATTTTTTCTCAACAACTTATGGATACCCAAGATACTGCATGGCTATGGATGCAAATGGCTGTGTCGTACTTCGCAGTAGTAGTACCAAAAGGGGTAAAATTAGAGGTACTCCTGGAAGTCGGTCATTAGTCACGGCCCTTAAAGGTTGTGAAGATACAGTTTTCCTTGATTTTATTAAAAAGTGTTTACGATGGACACCAGAAGAGCGCATGACTCCACGAGAGGCTTTTAAACATGAATGGCTTCGCAGGAAACTGCCGAAACCCCCTGGATTCAAGAACATGTCTTCAAGTGTATCGAACCCCAACACAATGAACAGAGCCACCCATACTACACAATTACCACCTAATACTTCTACAACTATTAATACTGCATCCAACACAACCACGACAATTACAGATAAGACATCTGTAAGTTTAAAACCCTTTGGGAAAGTTCAAAGTAGTGTTTCAAAGACCGCACGTGTTAGTAAGTTAAATGGTGAAGGGTGTGTACATCAAGTTGAAAATAGTTCTGTGCACGCAGCTGTTTATGATTCATGTGATTCTACGAAGGCTACAGCCCCATGCTCTATCACAAGTACGCCTTTAGCTACAAGTGAACCGAGATCTATTACATCAGTTAGTAAATCTGCAAGTCAAATGTACACTAACTCTGAAATTAACCCAGAAAATAAAATAACAATGACAGTTACGACGGAATCACTTCAAGATGTAGGTGAAAGAATACTCATAAGAAAGAACACATTATGTACCGATAACATAAGACAATCTGAACATAAAGAACGATAGTGTAAAACTCACAACTAGGTGAAATTAGGTATACACTACTGCAATTTTCGAATAAGTTGATACGTCCTCCAAAATTGATATCCAGAAGTTTTTCTTTGAACGGATATTTGAGAATAAGATGAAAAATAATTTGCTCTACTCTTCTAACTTTATTTTGCGTAAATTTTACTTTGATTTTCTTTTCTATAGTTTGCTTCTACCTGGGTGTATTTTGACGATTATTTTTAACAGTAAGAGAGTTAGTTCAATAATCTCATTCACACTTATTTTTTCACACATTTGTTATTTTAATGATAAGTAATTGATGGCAATAGCAACAGTGATAATAATAATTATAATTATAGTCATGAATTATTATGTTGACTTATCTGTACAAATTCACTCAACTTTCATATGTACTACATACAAAATTGTTGAGATGTATCCCAGTGATAATTTAAAAGTCTTATGCTGGTAGTAAAAACCAAACCAAACATTTAGCTTTTGTTAATATTTCAGTTTTTTTATTTTCTGCAAAAACTGGATGATATAATGAGTGTTATTAATGAGAATAATCACTAATGTGAATTAAAGACAACTTCACGTAGCAAAACACCGATACAGTGAATTCCTAAAGGTAAATATGAATCTATTTGTTTAATGTGTAAACAAACCGACTTGAGTTTAACACATGTATATGCAGCCCCGACAAAGTAAAAAGTTTTGGACGAGATGGTCAAACATGACAATCGTGACGCGTTATTTTAACACTCAAGTACGTAGACTAAACAAAGCTGAAAATACCCAGATGGTTTTTTTACTTACCGACATAGGGTGCAGATTATGTTGACATCTTAAAATTACGATTAGGGAGAAGTTCATTTTCACCACAATGAAGATACGAAGACTGTGAAGTGTTTAAGAGTAGTGACGATAACTCAGTTATGTTGTCACATTATGTGCTGAGATTTTAATCTTAAACATGAAAAAATACTCCTCTTTCACCACTATTACAATAACACATCGGTAAAAAGGCATATTCACTCGTATATTTAATGCACAGTGGACACCGCATTTTAAATACATGTAGATACTTTAAAGGAGATACACCTAGATTACAGTGAATACTTAGGGATGGAACGATTTCCGAGAAAGCTTTTATTAACACTACTTCTCTACATCACCTAAATGAATAGTGTTTATGCCTTATCGATATCAGACACCAAAAGTGATAAGCACACAGAAAATAACTGAAAACTAGGAAATCCACTCATTAATCTCATTTTTAAGTTTCATTGCTGTTACAAGGCTCAAGTTATAACATAACTTGGACAATAAACGAAATTATTAATACAAGCCGAGGCTAAGTTCAAACTGGCTCAAAATGGAATCAAAATATATTGCAACTGTATTTATACTACATGACTACATGAATATAAAAAAGCTACTTTGGAGCATGTGCTACAAGCGATATTTAGATGCTCATTTTTGATCAGTCGACAAGCGGTAGTGTTAACAGTTTTGTAGTTTACTTTCTTTTACTAGAAATTCATCCCTACACTTATTCGTTATAAGGCCAAACGGAAACACGAAAGTTAACTTACCTAGGCTATGAGGACAGAAAACTAACAAATTTATGTGTATATCCAATTTCCCTTCACATAATTATGAAGAAAAGGTGAAAATGTAGCGTTTCGACGACGTCTCTTCCTAAAGCGAATCAAATCGTATGTTAAAACAGCGCCTAGAAGTTTCAAAGCCTTTTGTGTATTTGCATTATGTTATTCGCTTCATGCTTTATTTTCAATGAACATATATTTCTGTTTCAAAAATAGCAATATCTCAAGTTAAAAGATATCAAAAAATGGAAAGTTAGTTGTATTATATTATTATTATTTGCAGGTACAATAGGATTTCAGTATCAATCTTCAACTGAACGCATTGAATTTAAGATGGCTTTTGTTTTCTTTTCCCGAATATAGTCGCTACAATAAAAACAGTAAATAATTACATATATATAATTCCTACGTATACTAGAAGCACAATAGCATCATAACAGAGCATGGGATGGAGACAACAAATGATACAACACCACCTTTTGTCGTTCAGATTACGATGACTCGTATCCTCACATATACAGTAAACCGATAAATGTAAAAATGGAATGTGAGGAACCGAAGAAAAGAACCAACAGAAAGTATAGAAAGCTAGGTGTTACATCTTGCAACCTGGGTTAAAAATCTCAAAATCTTATGAAAACACAAGAATTCCGTGAAATATGTGTTTTGTAAGATATTTTTACTGTAATTTGAGACTGTAAGACAATAATACTGTAGAAAACATGACACTGTTTTCAAACTGTTGACTTCATAATCAACCTAAGACACGATACTTACATACATGTAGTTGTAAGTTTTACGGCCTCTCAGAGACTTCTGCGCACAAGAAAACCTCGTGCATTAATTTTTTAAACTAATACAGATCGATCTTATATTTTAGACAATTAGATCACTAATCCAAAGTTCAGTTGAAACCCTGGAAATATATTGGCAGGGTTATTATAAAAAGGAGTTAACTTCATCGAATAAGCTATTGACTTCAAACTGAACATATACTTAGTTTACAAAAAAATGAAAAGCCCTATTTACCTCTCATAGATGTTTAGTAGGTGCAATACAAGTGATAATATGATTACAACCTGTTTGAACTTGGTAAAAACTATTGAACTTGAGAACTGGCCGAATTCTTGAACGATATCATCTATGAAAATCCACACATCTCTATGGGATGGTCTTTAACTACCATTCGTTAAGTAAATCATAATTTAAGACAGTTAGTGCTCTAGACAGATTTGGATAGTTTAATGAGATGAAGCCTATCAAAACAACGTGATGTAACAATAATAGGTCAATTTCAACTCAGTACAGTGAGAACAATCTGATACCATATTTTTATGTGAGAAAAAAAACCCGACTAACATTACGATAACAGGGACAATAACTCAAAATCCTTTGGCAGATATTGATTGGTTTTCACAATTGTGAAACCTTAGTATTAGTTTAGAGTGATGATGAGAAGTTAAGGAATATTCAATCTAATAAAAATAATATAAATTAATAGCACGAAAACAAATTGATTAAATTATGCACCCTTTGAAAGACGACACTCGATGGAATAGACAATTTCATAATGCAGAAAATAAGAATTACCTCTTTTTAATAATATTCAACTGATGTGAAGCTAAAAATTGACAATCTTGACGAATAGCCCGCATTGCACAACGTTTTTCCTTTGCAATTTTTCGCTGTAAAGTCCGTTTAGTATTATCACGCTGATTTACACACAATCTGGAAATAAAAATTTCAGAACAAATAAAGCGAAAAAAATATCCACCTTTCCATCGACATGCTATGATTGATGAAATACTTTGAAAATGTCATGATAATAAGAGCTGCTGAGAGGTAATACAAGAACTAACAGGGTTAGTTACATAATACGTATTTTAGCTGACTTTTACTGACCTATTAATACCCACTAAAAGCTACAATTAAAGATCAATATCATTACTAGCTTAAAGCACACTACTTTTCGGCTTTAGTGTTTCGTTATTTCTGCGTCATTATCCTTACTCCTTTATATTTTCTTAATGGATTTTTCGTCACTGTTCTTATGTAAAATGTCATAATTTGGACGTATGAATATTCTTAATAGGTTTCAAACTATATATTATCTATCGCGCTTTGGTTTCTTGCTTATGGTATATGTTATGTTCGAAACAATCGGAAAGTACATTTTTGAGTGCTTTGAAAATTATGAACGATTAATGTGACATTTGTGTATCTATTCTTCGACCTTATTCATTTGATGAATGCTTAGAAAGTGTTTAACTCAATTTTTCTTTTATTTAACTATTCACCAAGTTCAAATTATGGTCATTCCTCTAAATCATTCTTTTGTTCAACTTTGACAAAATTATATGCGCTGCTAAACCTCTACACATCAATTCTTTTTTGGGATCCAGTTATAAAACAGGCAGATTGGGTGAATTCTCGAGAAACGATTGGTTAAGCTACAACTTTAACATAGCTACCTGAACTTTGTGATCATTCGAAATCATAGCAATTTAGTCGTCTATAGTAGAATATGCCCTTGATTATTTATTTATTTTAACACATAGATATCGGTACAAGGAGGCACCAAATACATATGCGCCACACAAATTACATTAGATTTGTGTGAGGGCTATGATACTGCTCGGGTGCCCAAACCGAAGCAGGTGGTTTCTTTAGGGGGCCACGCTCGGAGCCTTTGACATGAAGGTCTGATCCACAAGGCAGTGGAGCATCGTAAGGAGATTCAGTCCCATGGCAGCCTGTGACCAAAGATTGGTTCATACACCATTTGTTCACTCAGGATAATGGAGCCTATGTGCACCATTGGTTTGGAATCAAGGTTTTCCAACTCCCATAGGTGGACTCTCCATGTCCGCTAACCCGGTTAAAGCGCCGGACATTCGTTTTTCGTCCTCTCATTTTCGTAAACAACACCCCCGCCACGAGAAGGCAGTGAGTAGGACTTCCCTGGCAGAGGCTATATACGCATGGCCATGTGAGAGCATTTCGAGAGCGAGAGCGGACTCTCCCCACTCTCGGCCGTACCATGGCATTTGGGAGAATTTGTTAGATAACTTATTAACCTCGTGGAGAATAAAACACCGATCATTAATTTAGTCGCAAAAGATTTTCTTATTTTTAAATTTTATTTACATTCGGTTTTAGGTTATTTGATCATGATTAGAAATATAACGTTGAGTGCTTCTGAAGCGAGATACTCACAAACTTTTTAGATTCATATTTGCAGTTTATTGGAATTACAGAACGTGTTGCTATAGAATTACAAAGTGGTTTACGCGTTTATTATTAATGACTGACCAATGTGAACTATGAAATGGATTTTATATTACTCCTAATACACCACAGTCAGTCATCATTAACGTAAGACATGAAAGGAATGTGTATCAG